AAACTATGCTCCGCGGTCCCTGGATGAAAAAMATTTTTTCGTACCTGGTGGACATTCAATACATCGTCGAGAAGAATCAGCAATGAAAAACCCAATGTAACACGGCTCGCATGTAATTATTCCGCCATTCAGTGGCTTGCAGACATAACCCATTGAATTCATTACAATTTCGACGCCTGCGATTTCAAACGTAAAGTAGTTTTCCTTTTCATTTGATTTTTGGGATCTGAATAGTTAAATAAAAGATGGATTTAATCAGAAGAGATCCGGAGAGTGTGAGAATAGAGTTTATAGATACTGATTGACTGCGTATACCATCAACACATGACTATATTCATTGCAGGTGTATTAGCCTTTCTGAGGTTATAGAACAAATGAGTAAGGCCAAATACCTAATGAGTTGCAAGCTTTTAAAAGTCGGCTGCGTTCTCAAAAACCATGGATTCTCTCTTGTTTTTTTTTTTTTTACGATTTGTTTGAAGCTTGCTAATGAGTCAATATTTTCCCAAACATTCTAAAGCTCGATAAACGTAATAACTTTAGTGTGATCTTTCGCGTGATGGGGTTTGTTTTTTAATTTTAAAAATATTTCTACACCAGTTGCCATTCCCTTTTTCAATTACGGAAACCCCCGGATAGTTAAGCTAAAAACTTACACAATAAAAGATATATTTGTGTTAAGGGACCAAATGACAAGTGGCGTTTTTAAATAGGTGTTTAACAACATCCTGGAGAATAACAAAACAATTTAATCAAAAGAAAGACTGACTGGATGAGTTATCCCATTTGATTTAAACCTTCTATTTCATCAAATCCTGGAACTAAGTCAGGCATTGAATTATCTAAGTCCGGGCATGGTAACCGTACTCATCAAACCCTGAAGCTCTGGGGTGAACAATGTCAGGGCACAGCTAATTATAGATCAAACCTTGAAACAACCCATGGGCTGATCTAAGTCAGGGCACTGCTAATTCACTGATCGAACTCTGAACATCAATCTCTGGGATGTACAAAGTTAGGGAACGGCTAACTCACAGATCGAGCTCTGAAGCAACCTCTAGGCTGACCTAATTCAGGCCATGGCTAACTCACAGATTGAACCCTGAAACAACCTCTGGGCTGATCTAAGTCAGGCCATGGCTAACTCACAGATTGAACCCTTAAGCTTAAACAACCTCCAGAAACCGAAAACCCCAAAAGTAAGAGGTAAGGATGTGAAATAGAAAAAGTAAGGATTTTTCTCATGGCAGGGGTTAGAATTATCCAACAAAGGGGGAACCTTCAATAACCATCACTGCAATGGATAATTAAGATAAAACGGCTATCGTCCTTACACCACTTTAAGATGAATCAATGTCGAAAATGCACCTTCCTCGATAGTCGTGATTGGGTTGTTTGAAAGAGAGCTGGAACAAATTGTTTAACAAGTTATGATGATAATAATAATAATAATAATAATGATAATAATAATAATAATAATAATAATAATAATAATAATAATAATAATAATAATGGGGTTCTTATATAGCGCATTTTCACATTGTCTCAATGCACTTATAGATTATTATAGATTTATATTATAGTTTCAAAATGAATTCATTGATAAAAAGCAAGATAAAAACTCTCCTCTGTTATTTGTAGGGACACCTTTATAGAGAAAAAGCTAGCAAAAAGGAAATTTGCTTTAAGACGAAGAACTTTGGATTTTCTCTGGTCATATGAAGATGAAAATTCACAGGTATGCCCCATGAATATTAAGTTTATCAACCAGAAAACATTGGGTTATGAAAAAGGGATAAAGTTTTGTTGAAAAAATCAAACTTACATTGTTGTTGCACATATAAACTTTTAAAGAGATTTGATAATCAGGGATACAGAAATATACTCTACATGTATTAAATAATTGAAACAAAAAGGTTGACACTGATTTTCTTATTTTATTTGAAAATACAGTTGCATGCACACAGGTACACNAAAAAACTTACTAAAATGAAATGCACTAATGAAATCATGTTAATACAAATATGATAAAAAAAGAGCACTTGAAATCATACTGGCAACTATAGATTACAACAGAAACTCATTAAATAAAATCCATTGTTTTGTCCCCCAGAACAATTCCTCTAGGGACGCATTGTAAGGGGCCTATAGCCATGCTCCGTAATATTTAGATATGCAAATCATACATATCAAACGATTGTTGTCATTCGCGGGCTTCCTGTGGTGACAAACCACGCTCCCCTCCCCTACACAATTTCCAGTCTTTTTTCGGCCAAAACCAAGATGGCTGATAGTTAGTGATGTTTTCACTCGATTTACTGTAAATTTGAGCAGTTTTGAGCAAGAAATTCGCCTATTTAGTGAAGAAAATTATATTCCAATTTCCTAATATGRTAAGTACATTCCATATATGGTAAAAGAAACAGCTCGAGCGGAACGACAACTTTTCTATATGGAAAGTTTGATATGTTGGGAGTTTTACTACCATATTTGGAATTATGAGTTTGCCCGGTTTCAAGATGGCCTCTTCTCTAACATATCAAAACTTGTCGCTAAATTTCTTGATTTTCAGTGATGTGATACTGAATCTTTCAATCAAACACTTTCTTTACTGTGGTTTTCGATATTCTAAGAACTCGGTAGTTATAAGCTATACTGCAAGCTTGGTACAAAAGAAATGCATATGGCTGTTGACACGCTTCAACCCATCTTTGAGTTTCTGATTACAAACGACAAAAAAAACAGCGGGAGTAGAAGAAGCATTAATAAGCGACGGTCACTCGGATGTACTCAAAAACAACATCGCAAAAAAACAAAAAAAGAAAAAAAAAAGAAAAAATTGTAATAGCTTGATATAAAAACTATAGCTGTTTCCTATTATTTTCGATATTATTACTCTATTTCATTTCTTTACTTAATTTTCTCTTAACTGAGCCGAATAGTATGCTATAGGACAAATGCATTAAGTGGACGTTTAATCAACCAGGTGTTACTTACATGATTTCTTGTTCCTTGGACTGGAACGAATTGTTGTATATCCGAGATAAGTTATTGTTTTCAAGAAACCTGAGACAAATAAAGTAAGCAAAATTCGTTAACATTCTTTATACTGAACATGGACATTTTCTGAATAATGAACATGATGCATTCCGGTCTAGCTTCAGTACAAACATCTTTTGTTCCTAATGCCTTATATGGAGTCGATCAAAGCTAGGCCTGGGATAGGGAACAAGGTGCATTCTGGTCTAACTTGGGTTCAAACATCTTTTGTCCATCATACCTTATATGGTATGGTTTTTACCAAAGCTAGACGACAATGCATCCTGTTTATCGAATTCAGAACAGGCTTATGAGTAAGAGCACATCGTCCTTATCTTATACTAATAGACATTTTCCAATTTAAATTCGCCTGAGTGACATTGAAACAATTGCTCTAAGTCAAGGTTAGACTCGGTGAAATATCGTATCATGTGAAATGTATGAACACATCAAGTCGAACCTCCACTTGAAGCCATTGTTTTGTGTTTACTCAAGCGAATTCGGGAAACGTCTATTACCTACAAGAACTATATAATCTAATAAATCACAATTTTCATTGCTTATTTTGTTCAGAAACAAAGGACACTACTGGATTTCAATTTCCCGTTTCAATTCAACGTAACGGCTTGTTTACAAGGGGGCATAACACAGAAGAACTAAGGATTTGAACCAACTTTACTCTGCAGCTAAATTGATATAGCTCAGTTAATGTCTGGTTTTCAAGCACATTTGTTGGCTATTATTGCATGGTTTTCTAAGTTCTAAATGTACAATTTTTGCAGTTTTCTTCGTGCTGTTGCTGTTTTGTTCCCCTCCCAAGACCATGACTTTTTTGCGTTACCAGYCTTTTCATTGCTATGCGCTGATCGAGACAGTCGCGACATGGAAATTGGGCAATACACTTCCGTCAATCAAATAAATTGGTCGGTACTTTTATATTCTCTGATTGGAGGCATTGTATTGCCCTATTTCCCTTTTGCGACTGTTGTCTTGATCAGCACGAAACAATGTAAAGAGTGGTAAACAAAATATTATTTTATGTGAAGACATGATGAAATAGGGCATTTGTTGGGGGTTGGAAGATCGCTCATTTTGAAATGTCATTTAATTGCCCATGGTAACTAAGCTGTCTTGTTGAGAAAGGAGCTAAGGAAAAATGATGTTTACCGGTGACACTAGGCTACTTCGACCCCCAGAATACTACAGATACACTCCTGTTAGCCATTTCGAGGTTAAGGGGAAAATCTGGGTAAAAAAGGTATATCATTTTCACCGTTAATATAGCCTATCATCGCCCCTGCCTGGTTAAGTTATTGGAAAAGATATTCTGCCGAGGCGATGAAGAGGCAGAGTAAGAGGAGCATGTGAAAAAACGTCGCCGAAGATGAGGTGGGTGGGTCAAAATTTGTCTCCTACACCGCACTAGAACGTCGTAAGTTGGAAATGATCCGAAATGCAATATTTCTGCTTAAATACGAAACCATAAGCCCTTGGTGTTGTGGGGTGTCTCCCTCCTTCGTTTCGCACCTATGGGAGTATGATAACATTCCACGCGGGCTCTATTCTTGGCTATATATATTGATGGTGAAAATAGCATTGCAGTTTATTGTGTGGGACTTACACCATTTAGAAATTCCCTAAAACAGTCCCACAATGAACTGCAATGTCAACTTGACCCAGTTTTTTCCTTAACCTCGGAATGGCTAATTACCTTCAAACAATTGTTGCAATTGGGTCAGTTTTGTGAGTAAAAATTGGAAAGAAAGACTAAAAAATATGTAGCAGACTAACACATCCTTTTATCTAATTTTGTAATTAAACTTACACGTATGCTAGACGTTTGATATTACTGATATTTAAATTAGAGAGATGATTGTTGTTAGTTGTCCTTGAAATACGGAAAAAGGAAAGAATAGAAACAAGAAGAACAAAAAGAATACAATAATATTAGACTATGTTTAGAATGTCTAGTCGAGGCGGGGCATATTGAAGGATTCGTTCGTTTTCGTGTGCTCGGGGGTTTTGGTGAGCTTGTTTGTTTTAGTGGGCTTGGGTATTTTGGTGGGCTAGGGTGTTTTGGTTGGCTTGGGTGTTTTAGTGGGCTTGGGTATTTTGGTGGGCTAGGGTGTTTTGGTTGGCTCGGGGGTTTTGGTGAGCTTTTTTTTTTTTAGTGGGCTTGGGTATTTTGGTGGGCTAGGGTGTTTTGGTTGGCTTGGGTGTTTTAGTGGGCTTGGGTATTTTGGTGGGCTCGTTTGTTTTGGTGGGCTCGCTTGTTTTGGTGGGCTCGAGTGTTTTGGTGGGCTCGAGTGTTTTGGTGGGCTCAGATGTTTTGTTGTGCTCGTGTGTTTTGGTGGGCTCGTGTGTTTTGGTGGGCTCAGGTGTTTTGTTGTGCTCGTGTGTTTTGGTGGGCTCGTGTGTTTTGTTGTGCTCGTGTGTTTTGGTTGGCTCGGGCGTTTTCGCGGACACAATGTGCTCCCTATTTATCCGCATAGTTTGTTGTCATGGATTCACAGTTTTCACTTTCGAAATGTTCAGCCATGAAAATAATAAGGGAATGAGTATTTTCAGCCATACTTGCTTTGGTTCATTGTGCAAGGTCAGTATCACGTGATGGTACGGTTCAACCTCAAACGCRAATCAATAGGCCAGTCCTTTGAAGTTTGCCGGGTTTCAAAACCAGTCCCCTCTATTAACTATGATTGCCCATAGCAGTTTATAACTTACAAGAGGTAGATATTGCTAATACCAAACGTTACTCCATCTGTAAGATTTGTCAACTGATTACTATGTAGAAAACTATGGAGATAAATTGAGATATATCAAACACAGAACGAATAGCTGATTAGCATTACTTAAGGGAAGGGAACAAGGAAACGAAAAAGAAGAAGAAGTAAAAAAAACAAAAAAAAAACAGGAAAAATATCTGAGTTCTATGACAACTCCATCTGGACCTCGGATTTTGTCTGAGTTTTTTTAGTTTCTGTATCTTTTAAACTATTTATTCTTATGATTCTAATGTCGATCGCCCCCTTTTTTTTCAACTTGCTCATGCTCGGTTTGATCTAATAAAAATCTGAGTTAAAAATGGCATTACTTTTGTTATTTCAAATTTTCTATGTATATCCAAATGAGTTATACTTATCTTGCAAAAAAATTTTCCTTACACAATTGATAGAACATTTGTCCCAATGAAAGTGGAATCTTCCAAATRTTTCAACCTATTATTTTGAAGCTCCCTGGAAAAAAGCATGTAATTGTAGTTAAATACCAAGAATGGAAGTAATAAACCCCAGAAATGCGTGTAATTTATATGATTTCTCGTTTTAAATACAAGATATTTACGAGACAAGTTCCAAGTTCAAGACGCATCTGGTTAAATACTGGTATTAATACTGTTAGTATACTGGTCAGCGGAAGAATAATATTGTAAGCGGGAACCCTGCTGTTAGATGGGCTGCCGTCTTGGATTTGAAGGATTTGAGCGGCTTTGACGTCACATGCAAGGAGTTTATTAGGTCTACATCTTTCAAAAAAGGTTGGCGACGGTGTACTATTTAAGAGGAGAGTTACTGTACTTACACGGCTGTTAGGCCCTCAAGGTTGTTAAAGGTACCCCTAGCCAAGTGCAAAATCTTGTTGTCGTTAAGACTTCTATAACATAACATATAACATATAACATATAACATATTTCATTGACACGTTAAAGAAAGTGAATTTATTAGATTTGTCATTTAACAATTAATTGACTGATAAAGACAGATGAAGGGATGCGGTCGAGATATTCCAAAAATGCATGAATTTAGTTTTGCTCTCTTAGTGTTTATCTAATAATGGGAAGCACTGTTGGTGTGCGCTGCTAATGTGCCGCATCTCACCAATGCGGCCCGAGTTCGAGTCCTGCCGATCTCGATGTCGTATGTGAGTAGAGTTGTTTTTTGGTTCTCTCCTGTGCTTCGAGGGTTTTTCTCCGGGTTCTCCGGTTTTCCTCCCTCCTCAAAAATCAACTTCTAAATTCTAATTCGATCTCTGGGCTTTCGCTTAATTTGGAGCCTAGCTCTGTTGTGATTGTCCCACGCTGTGATACGACAGCGAAAAGCTTTGTAGATTAAAAAAAATTTTTTTTTTTTTTAAATTTTTAATACATTTAAAGTAGAGTTCACACCATACATCCGTGAAAACTGTGAAATCCCTTAGATTTTTTCACCTGTTGCGATTGGTTAACGACCATTTAAATAGAATAAATTCGGGGTAAAATGCTAACTCAAAGACTAAAGGAACAATAAACGTTTATTCACAAAGAACATAAACTTACATGGTGTTTAAATACAACATATGACTAAATGTTCCAGCTTCTACTGATGTTATCCTATTATGTTGAAGACGGCTATGGTTAAAACGAAAAAAAAAATCATCACCAACATCATCAACATTCCCTGCCCTGCCCTACCCTGCCCTACCCTGCCCTACCCTACTTACATTTGATGAAGTATCTTATTGTTCTTTAAAAATCTTCCTCTCAATTGCGTTATGTTGTTGTTGTTCAATAGCCTACGATGGAAAAAAAAAAAAGGTTTCTAGGCTCCTTTCTTTCTCTCTTTCTTTCTCTCTTTCTTTCTTTCTTTCTTTCTTTCTTTCTTTCTTTCTTTCTTTCGTTCGTTCGTTCGTTCGTTCGTTCGTTCTTTCTTTCTTCTCTATAAAATCTGTTTTCATTTAAATATGTCAACAGACTATTCACCATATTCCATACATCGGTTCACTGGTCAAACACAAAGCATTCAGTTGAGGTTGCAAATTTCAAATTTGAATACTCCTTTGAAAGTACCTTGGTGCCTCGCCTGAGCGCTTTGTGTTTGACAAGTATGGAAAATGGGAAATTCTTAAACGGAAGCGTGGTCCCTCTGCGCCACTTCATACATAATGACGGCAAGGGTCAGAGCTGCCGAACCAGCCTACCTCCCGCGGGCAAGGGGGAACTAACTCTAACATGTCCCACTCTGGGTTACCCGGGCCTTGTTCCAGACTAGAGTGGGAATCCGCTTACCTCTTTAATATTAATATTAAATTTAGATTATTGAAAAACTCAAAATATTAATGCAAAGTTGTTTTACAAGCGATTTATCTATTTATCAAGTAGTACTCTTATTAGTGACTAACAATATTTCGAGATTGTAGTTCTCGTCAAAGACATCTTCTTCAACATCAGTTATTTCATTGAATCCAAGATCCCTGCAAATTAGTAAAACAATGTGAGACTTTTCGAGGATTTTGGCTCTACTCTAAAACGTTCTTAAAATTTCAGAATTTAATATTCGAATCCTGGGCGCCAAATGTCCAACGAACAAGGACGTTTTTGTGTGTGCAAGTGCAAGTTAATAGTCCCCTTCACAGTTCCCTGCGCCATCTTGAAAGATAGTCGTGCCTTTGCATCGAAGTGAGACGAAAGGTGAGCTTGCAACGATAGAGACATCTGAATGATTGTCCAATGTGTTAAAAAGACGTCTCTATCGTTGCAAGCTCACCGTTTGTCTCGCTTCGATGCAAAGGGCGGCTACCTTTCAAGATGACGCAGGGAACTGTGAAAGGGACTATTCCAAATAAGCCAGTCCGGATCCATAGAATCGTTTTCAGTTCGTATGCGTTTTTACCTAGAATTTCCCACCTCCTTTTGTCTAAACCTTCCTTTGTTCCTAGTGCTCCTAAATCGCATGCGCACTGGAAAAGATTCTTAAACTATGAACTGCCTTATTGCGTTTGAAAACTTTCAATTATGTATACCTATTTACACTAGTATAACTATTAATTGAAATAATATATATGTTCTATTACTTACAAGTGTTGAAGCCTGACAGCGCCATTAAAAATACCCTTTTTTAGACGAGCTATTTTATTACCCTGAAGGTTTCTAAAAATTAGAAAAAAATTATCAATTTAAGAAGATAAGTAAACGTCTTTGGGTCACCCAAATGTAGAATTTCTGAAACGCTAGTGACACCAGGTCAGCTTACATTTATTCATGCATAAGTAAACAAAAAATTCCAGCATCCATATAATTATATACACTAGTCAATAGAAATCCCCACCCTCAGATCCCCGGGACAGGGCGGGGAATTCGACTTTAATGTAGTTTGACATCTAGCATTTCCCTTCCGGTCCCCGGAGAAAGATTTGCCGTTTGAATTATTAAAATTTGGAAGTGGAGATAAATCAAAATTCCTCGTGGATTCACGCTCCTAAATGAGTGTCGAATACCTGTTCTCGCTGCGTTAGTTCAGTGGGTGGGGATTTCTATTGACCCAGTGCATAACTCGCGAAATCATTGGACAATGAAGTACAGTAAAAACCCGCATAAAAGAACAAGTGGGTTAAGAACACCCAGCCTGAATTTGGGCGTTTTAAGTACCATGTAAATAAGAACACAATCAGCCTGAAATATTAAAAAGTGTTTAAAAAAATAAGATCAATATTTATGCCTCCTCATCAGTACTCATGCATACACCGAGGGCTGGGGAGACGGTTTAGATTACAGTGTTACCAGTAGCAGACTCCAAGACTGACCTGACAATAATTCATTTTTCTACTGTTTTGATACAGTTATTATTGCAGTCAAGATTTTTTWAAATAACATTTTTGAACTTACACATTGATATCATCTACATGTTTTGGTAGTCTATATAGTAATACTATATATATTTTAGAAACATTTATTTTAAGAACATCTTAAGAACACCTTCAGGCTGATTTTTCAGTAAACACCCATTAAAAAAGAATAAAATCAGCCTCAACTCCAAAAATGGGTGTTCTTTTATGCGGGTTTTTACTGTACCATTTCTATATACCGGTCACTAATATCAGTAGATATGAGGTACCAATTCTACGCCATGTGGATCGTGGATCATGTGGATCGTGGATCAACCCCCCACCCCCATCAGGGTTTTTACAGAGGTGACGTAACGGCTATTCTAAGTGAGGTTCCAGTGAGGTAGGGGGAGGGGTGATCTACATCCAACCATCATGGGAAGACCGGCCGACCGCCCGAGTAGAGGTTCGGATCGAAATCGGGGCCTGGAAAGGTTTGGGAAAGGTGTTTTAAAACACAAATCAAAATCCTTTGTTTAAAAAACGAAGTTTTTGAATTAATGAGCTGACTTCCTTTGTTGGAATGACATGTTTAATTAGCAGACTTAAATGAGAAGCTGTACT